TGCGAAGCCGCTTTCAACGGCCTGAAGACCTACCTCTGCTCAGTACCACTCCTGACAACACCCTCTGCTGGCGACCCGCTCATTTTGTACCTAGCAGTTTCTGACCGAGCCGTCAGCGCCGTATTGATAAAGGAAGAGATGGGGGAGCAATGGCCAGTGTATTATGTGAGCAAGGCGATGGTTGACGCCAAAACACGTTACCTTCCGCTGGAAAAGCTCATCCTAGCCCTAGTTATGGCAGCAAGAAAGCTCATGCATTACTTCCAGGGGCATAGCATTGGGGTGCTAACAGATGATCCCCTCCAATCAGTACTACGCAGTGCAGAAGCATCTGGACGTGTTTCAAAGTGGGCTCTGGAACTTGGCCAGTACGATATTCAATTTCTACCCAGAACCTCAATCAAGGGACAGGTGCTTGCTGACTTTATCGCCGAATTCACAGGGGGCCTTGCCGACTTCAAATCTGATGTCGCCGACTTCAAGTCAGATGAAGTTCATCCGAAGCCGAACTAGAGGATTTATGTTGGGGACATCTGGTAGTTGTATTATGATGGATCGTTCAATCAGCGGTGCAGTGGAGCTGGAGTTGTAATCATGACCCCCGACGACGCAATAATTGAGCAGGCCGTCAAGCTCGGCTTCGAAGCATCGAATAACGAAGCCGAATACGAAGCCCTTGTAGCTGGTTTGCAGAATGCGCATATTCTGGGTGCTCGGCGTCTGCTTGTGTTTTGTGACTCAAAGCTGGTGATCAATCAGCTAAAGGGGGAGTACGCGGCAAGAAATGACCGTATGGCGGCCTACACGAAAACAGCCAATTCCCTGTTGGCAAAATTTGACCATCATGAGTTGAACCAGATAACACGTGATTAGAACACCCATGCAGATGACTTGGCTTGCCTAGCCTCCACAATCAACTCAGAGATTAAACGGACCATTGAAGTAGGATTCATCCCAGAGCCAAGCATTGGCCCTTTGGAGGAAGTCCAAATCAACGTTATAGGATCTGCACCAAGTTGGATGGATCCCATTGTTGCATTCCGGTCTTCTGAACAACTCCCAGAAGACAAGAAAGAAGCACATAAGCTACGAATCAAAGCCATGCGATACTACTTGGACCCGCAAACAAGGCTTTATAAAAAGTCACTCTCTGGCCCATATTTGGAATGTGTGCACCGGGATAAAGTCGGGGAGCTTCTGGCTGAGATACATGAAGGTAGTTGCGGAGCCCATTCTGGCGGACGCTCTTTGGCCCATCGAGCTATAACGCAGGGGTATTATTGGTGGACAATGAGAGTGGACCCCGAATGTTATGCAAAAAAGTGTGAACAATGCCAGAAATTCTCCCCGTTAAACCATCTACCTGCTGAAGAGTTGAACTCAATCACCAGCCCTTGGTCGTTCGCCCAGTGGGGGCTTGATATCGTATGACCACTGCCGAGGGACCTAGGAAACAAGCGATACCTGATCGTCGCAACAGATTACTTCACAAAATGGGTCGAAGCGGAGGCATTAACACACATCCGAGATACTGATGTTAAGCGCTTTGTGTGGAGGAACATCATAACATGATTCGACATTCCTAGAGCTCTTATCTCAGACAATGGCACCCAGTTCGATTGTGGCGTATACCGAGAGCTGTGCAGCAAATACGGTATTCGACCTTACTTTTCTATGCCCGCTAATCCCCAAAGCAATGGCCAAGCCGAAGCATCTAATAAATCCATCTTAGACGGCATCAAGAAGAGGCTGGAGAGAGCCAAAGGCAGATGGGTCGAGGAATTGCTGAGTGTGCTGTGGGCTCATCGAACTACACCAAGAAGATTGACTGGAGAAACGTCGTTTGCCCTATGCTTTGGAACCCAGGCAATCTTACCCTTGGAGATTGGCCACCCGACACTCAAGTCGCAAGTCTTTGATACGGGCCGAAACGACATGATGCTGGCTTTGGATCTGATCCTAATCGAAGAACGAAGAGACCGAGACCTTGCGTCAATGGCGCGATACCAGCAGTACCTGGCAAAGTTGTATAATCAACGGGTTCAGCTGTGCCGTTACACACCAGGAGAATTGGTCCTGAAGGAGGTGCTTCCAGCTGGCAAGAAACCGGCCGATGGAAAATTGGGTCCTCAATGGGATGGCCCATACCAGATGGATTCGATCGCCGGAGTAGGGGCATATAAGCTTAAAGACATGTCAGGAAGGAGTCTGCCACGGCCCTGGAATTCCACGCATTTACGCAAATTTTATCATTAACCCGACTTGTGGGACATGATGCTTGCTCCGACCTATTCGTTATGTACAACTCTTTTTCTGTAATACAAAGATTCCCATTCACCTACTACAGAATCTAGTTCAAAGATGTTCCAATTAAAGTCTCTAGATTCGGAGCCTCATTGGCGAATGACGTCTTTGGGCCGATCAAGCCTCTGGATTCGGAGCGCCCTTCGTGGATATCACGATTGGCCAATTAAAGTCTCCGGATTCTGAGCCCCATCGGCGAATGACGTCTTTGGGCCGATTAAGCCTCCGTATTCGAAGCACCCTTCATGGATATCACAACTGGCCAATTAAAGTCTCCAGATTCGGAGCCCCATCGGCGAATGACGTCTTTGGGGCGATCAAGCCTCCAGATTCGGAGCACCCTTCGTGGATATCACAATTGGCCAATTAAAGTCTCTGAATTTGGAGCCCCATCTCGGCGAATGACGTCTTTGGGCCGATCAAGCCTCCAGATTTGGAGCGCCCTTCGTGGATATCATGATTGGCCAATTAAAGTCTCCGGATTCGGAGCCCTATCGGCGAATGACGTCTTTGGGCCGATCAAGCCTCCGGATTTAGAGCGCCCTTCGTGGATATCACGATTGGCCAATTAAAGTCTCCAGATTCGGAGCCCCATCGGTGAATGACGTCTTTGGGCCGATCAAGCCTCCGGATTTGGAGCGCCATTCGTGGATATCACGATTGGCCAATTAAAGTCTCTGGATTCGGAGCCCCATTGGCGAATGACGTCTTTGGGCCGATCAAGCCTCCAGATTCGGAGCGCCCTTTGTGGATATCATGATTGGCCAATTAAAGTCTCCAGATTCGGAGCCCCGTCGGCGAATGACGTCTTTGGGCCAATCAAGCCTCCAGATTCGGAGCGCCCTTCGTGGATATCTCGACTGGCTAATTAAAGTCTCCGGATTCGGAGTAGATATCACAACTGGCCAATTAAAGTCTCTGGATTCGGAGCCTCATTGGCGAATGACGTCTTTGGGTATCACGATTGACGTCTTTGGACCGGTGAACCTTTCGGGCCGTGCGTACCAGTCAATTAAATCAGGCCGAACAATGTCTATACAATCGTCTGAAATACGTTTATTCAAACATTTATGTAATAAAACACATGCAATCAGGTGTGTGCCAAACACAACTTATAACAAAACATTGAAAATAAGATGCTTTTTCATTTGACCAACCAATAATTACATAATCTTAGATGCAATCCGCGTTTGAACATTTATAACGTGTATTTTTATTCGGCGACTCCCTTATCATCACTCTTTTCAACTTCAAAGGTGGAAAAGGGCAAATGATCACGATGATCCCGGCCACATAAGTTGAAATCGACACCCTTCACTCGGAGAGCCTCCGCGGCCTGAAGAGCCGCGATCCAACCATGCTTAAAACCGCGATTCTCGCATCGGCAGACCTCCTCAGCAAGTGTCTCTTTCATTTTGTCGATCCCAACCTTCCGGCCATCATGGAAACCCTGCTCGTAACCCTTGGCCCTCGCATTTGCTACGGCAAACATGCCTGCCGTATCTCGGTCAGCGATGGCATGACTCAATAGCCGTTGGGTCACCCTCTCGTCCACAATCGGGTTAGACTGACCCGCCGCATACGGATCGGTGACTTTAACCTTCCTAAGCTCTCTAAGCTCGCCCTCGGTCTTTTTCGCATGAGCCTCTGAACTGCGGACCCGTTCGCCCATTTTCTCCATCTCCCGCTGTGCGGCGCATAGACGCATGCCTACTTCGTAGGTGGTGTACAGCCTCTTCACCGCCCCATGAATACCTTCTCGAAACATTTCGAAATCTCGTCGTCCAACCATCGATTGTTGGACTTCCGGTGGAAAGATCTGTCGAGCGAACTCAACCACTACACCCGGATCATTGATGATGGAATCTGCCTCAGTCATTGGTTTATTCCCCACGAACACAACAAAACTCAATAGTCGTAGCGTCGTATCTGACTCATTCCTCGGTCGTGGTCGTGGGGAGCTTCCCCGTTGATACTTCTCTCTTCGGGGCGATCTACTTCGATGGCTCGAAGGTTGATGTTTTTCGCCTTCCTTAGACGTCCTTCCTCCCGTACGCGCAGGTTCACTACTACGATTCATCGCAGTATCTAGCTCAGCCAGCGTTCGTCCCTCTCCTCTACTGTTGAAGAACAGTCTGTTTGACATTCGCCCTCGCCTCAAGCTAGTTCCAATTGAGTCTGAATAAGAATAAGTGGACCCACTGGCGCGAATCCACCCCATTTATTCGTAGGTATGCAGCAACCCCGAGGCAATTTCTCCAAATAACGGATAAGGGCAGATTTATTAATCTAACCGGCCGAGCATCTTGGTCCCATGCCGATTGATATGTGCCACAGCCACTTCATGCACTGATTTTTGGCTTTCTAAACGGCCTAATTATCTAAACGGAAATTATGAGAGAATGCCTTGATGTCCATGCACTGGCTGGGGCAAGGGCAGATTTATTAATCTAACCGGCTGAGCATCTTGGTCCCATGTTGATTGATATGTGCCACAGCCACTTCATGCACTGATTTTTGGCTTTCTAAATGGCCTAATTATCTAAATGACAATTATGAGAGAATGCATTGAAGTCCATGCACTGACTGGGGCAAGGGCAGATTTATTAATCTAACCGGTCGGGCATCTTGGCCCCATGCCGATTGATATATGCCACAGCCACTCCATGTACTGATTTTTTGGCTTTCTAAACAACCTAATTATCTAGTCAGCAAGTATACAAAAGGTTTTATCCAAAACAGCAACCAACAATTCCGTTCATTAGTAACAAAAAAGTACAAAATGAATTTTCATTAAGTAAATTGGACACAAATTGTAACCATTTTACACATGAAAATTACTAAATAAAAAGTTGTAAAAAGCCAAAAATTATATGCAAATCGTAAAACAAAAACACGAGCTGCCCAAATTTGCCCTCGGAGTCAGACTCTAGCAGCTCAACATCCACTTGCTCGTATGGAATTGGCGTAGCCAATGTCACATCAGCAGCAGCAAGGGCTTTAAGCCAGCCGTGTTTAAATCCCCGATTTTCAAATTTGGGGACTTCGTCTACATATTCATCAAAAGCAGACTTCTTACCAACATTGAATGCGCTGGCAGCCTTCAGGTCAGTTGTTTTCTTCGCCGCCTTCATCTCTTCCAACCCAGCCTCCAATTTAGAGATCGCCTCCTGGGCCAACTTAAGCGCGTCATCGCTCGCATTCGCCCTCTTCTCGGTGACTGATCTCAATTCTTCAGCACTACGGGCTCTCTCCATCTCGGCCTCGGCACGGGCGCCTTCCGTCTGTGCCCTACTCCTTTGGCCCTCAACCTTGGTTTGTAAACGGCCAATTAGCTCGATGGCATCGTGATAGTGACGGCCCATGTCGACTATCCTCCTGACGGCCTGCCAAACAGGAAGTCAAGAACAAAATAATATTTGCGTAAGGAGAAAAGACAGAGTTTAGATATATACCAAAAGAGTCGATTGCACGGCCAACCCAATTGCAACCAGATTAGGCTCTACCCGAAAAGTCGCCTTGTCAGCAGGCAGTGAAACGAATGTCGCCAAGCTGAGTGCAACCGCTGGATCTTTTATTACCGAAGCATTGGAGTAGATCGGCATATTTTTTTATCTTGGGCTGAATAACAAAAGGTACAATCACATCTGACTCCTCCACACGAGGTCGTTTGTCGGCACAGTCTTCTTCTGAGCCGGCCTCGACATCGGCAGGGCATTTCTCTACTCTTTGCTCAGCTTCTACACTTGCCAGCACAAAAGATTCTACCTCGGAACTTCCGTTCTTTGCCATCCCCTCAATAATAGGCAAGGAGGTCTGGGACAGAGATTCGGCAGCCCGAATCTCCTCCGCCCTTCGCTGTGCGGCCATCCTTTCCGCGTTTGCCTTCTTGGCAAGTTTAGTGAGGCTCAACCCAGCCATATCTTCTGGGAACGTGCCGAGAAGGTCCTCCAGACCGCGAAAAATATCGTCGAGCGGACAGTCCTCTCGACCCGAAATGGACGGAGGATCAGCCGAATTGAGGCCGGCTTCTTCAAATGCTAACTTCAAACCTCGTCAACCTCAGTTTCGGATTGGCCTGACTCAGCGGCCTCAGCTACTTCCAGTCGCTCTGAATCTGATCCCTCGCAACTGACTTGCCTTAAATTTCTGAAATCAGTTAAGATAAGGGCGATAAGAGACTCCTCACCCTCTAGAATTGGGATGTTTTCCACCGTCGAAAAAGGCGCATAAGTCGGCTCGTAGCGGAGCAGAACGTGGGTCGCCCTCCCCTGCTTCTAAAGACTCGGTCAGCCGAAATACTTGAGTGCAGTCTTGATTTTCGAAAGGACGGCGTCGTCGGTCGAGATCAAGACTTTCTTCAAATCGTTTCCTACAAAAGCAAAACCATGAGGTCCTGAAAATAAAGTTTTGTAAATATAACAAGTAAATAAATAAAAGAAGATACTCGGCCACCTGGTTCGCCCCTCCGTCTAGGAATACGATCAAGGCTATCCTCGCCTTCGCCGAATTCCCAGTTTCCTTGGACGATGACCATAACATCATCGACTCGCTTCCCAGAGCTGGAAAGCATAGTCACTAGTTGATGGTCGGTGTCTTTGGCCCTAAGGAAATAACGCCCGTGCCGACCAGAAGACTTGGCCAAGGCGTAGCAATGCCAAATAGTGGGAGTGCCAAGGTTAAGCCTAAGGCGGCGGTTTAGTACGATAATTCCCATCACGATCCTATAAAAGTTCACATTGGGTTGGGAAGGGATTAACCCCCAATGGCAAAGCACGGCCCCAAGGAATGGGTGAAGGGGAAAGCAAACCCCACTCTCTGCGATTGATAGAAGAGGGAAGACGATCGTGGTTTCATCAACCCTCTCCATATCGAGGGTGCTGTCTGCCACAAATGACAGACGGACATCATCAGGAATGGAAAAATGCCGTCGGAAGCCAGAAATTTGATCCGGTGAGAGGAGAGCTTGCAAATGTTTCACCATTCCCCCGGCCAATAGGATTATGCTAAGCCAAAAAACAAAGAAGAGAATGAGAGAACTTACAAGAGGTGAAGGAGATAGAGAAGAGTAGAAAGTTGCAGAGGTAGTTCGGAAGGCAATCCAGCGAAGGGCGTCTAAAAGCATGTATGCATTTGAAAAGACGTCGAAATTTTAAATCACAATAAATAGAAATGTACGAAGAGGCGGGAAGTTGAAATGACAATCGGGAAGCGTGTGTACAGACATTTGCATTGGAATATGGACAGCTGCCGAATTTCGGCTTTGACCCTTCGAGTTCGAAGCCAAACATTCCAGCCAGCTGTCGTTAGTGGAGTGCTTGGGAGGCAATTGTGGGGGCCGAGAAGAGGAAGTCGTAGAGATTCTGTATAGCCGAATCTTGGAGAGTCGAGATTCGAAGCACTCGGTAATTGTCTCACAAGCTCAAATCCAACCCTATGCGGCCAAATGACTGATTAGGAAAGGGGCCGAGTGAAGGTCGATCTATTATAAAATGCACCGAATATGAGTTGGAAATGGACCGAATCTTGAGGCCCATGGAAGAAAAGATATAAATAGAAGAACATCAGCCAGAAAGAGGTATGTGAAAATTATTGTGCTTAACTTAGAATACAAGCATTCTTGAGTGTGGATTCTGACTTGTCCGTCGGAGTGCTAATTCCGACACCCCCGACTGGAGTGTTTATTCCTTTTTAGGTGACCAAAAGAGGATCACGAGCGTCCTCCAGGATCTGAAGAGTATTTCCAAACCACTTCTCCACAATTCTCTTTGATCAATTAATCACTTAGCCATGGTGGTCCCAAGCCCATTATTCCTTAATAAGTTATAATCTATGACTCAAAAGATAGGAGGAATCGATAGGAAAAAGGTTCAGACGAAGAATTGGTACAAATCCGGTAAATAGAAAGTGAACAGTCATCACTAAATTGGGCATAACTATTTCTGTACTTATAATTTTGGGGTGAGACTACCATCATTGGAAACTACACTTCCGGGGCTTGATTTTAGGCTCAAGAATCACTCAAAACGGAGTCTAGATGCAAACGATATGCTTATTCAAAGTCACTAGGTATAAGCTGAAATAGGGTTGGCCGCGCGTGCGCCCAATTGGACCGCTTGTGCGGCCCAAATCCGCTCGAGCGGAAAAACCGACCGCTCGAGCACCCAAAGAGTAGAATGAAAACTTCTTTTTTTCTTCATGTTCCGCTCGTGCGGTGCCCTTGGCCGCTCGTGCGGTCTGGGCAAAAACAGATAGTCCGAAAATTCATCAAAGTGTGAGTTTGCAAACTCAAATTCAAACCAAGATCTCATGTAATCTTTCTTTAAAACATGATAAACCAACATATTTCAAGGGTAATTCAAGCTTAATTGCATCAACTTGTTTTGATTCCAAAATCAAAATATTAACTTCCATGAATTCAACAAGATCAAGCATCTAAATACATAAACAAGATCAAGCATGTACAATGGAGGAATAGAAGGTAATTCATCTCCATAAAACTCAATTTAACTCAAACGGTCAAAATGATACAACATCCTTACGATTAATTCAATTACAAACCCTAGCCATATATATATATATATATAAAGAGAACCTTATTCAAGTCCAAATAGGGAATTATTGGAGATGGATTAAACTTACCTTGAGCTCAAATCTCTATAACCCTCTCAATTTTTCCCAATCCTTTTTCTTGATGAACATCCCCTCTTCCTCTCAAACTCTCTTCTTCTCAAACTCTCTCTCTCTCTCAGGATATATTTTGAGTTAAGGTTACCAAGTCAAATGTTAAAGAACATAGATATATATAAAAGGTGAATAAAGACGAAATCCAATCAGTTTAATCATTCCAAATCAAAATTTCACAGAAAATCATATTATGACCTAAAAATCATGCAGATCTCAAATATAAAATAAATTTCAGATTATTAAGCTTCTATGACTTTCAATTTCTGATCCAAACATCACAATTGCAACAGATATTCCTCTTATTAGACAGATATGAATCTCTAATCATAAGATTCACTCATTTTAACTTAATTTCACATGGAATTTCACAACAAGCTCACAAATGCACAGAATAAGGGACTAAAAGCATATCAGAAAACATGTACGAGGGTCGGGTTATTACAATTCCTAACATTGCTTTGCATCTGTTTATCTTGGACATAGAGAGATTCTCATGCCTTCTGGGGTTATGGGAACACCATTGCACGAGACTAGTACAGGGAGCTACCCGATGATGTTCGCCACATCGTCGATGAGGCCGATTTTGGTGTATTCTGCATGGGACTCTCGTGCCTCACTGCGAGTCGGTCTCTTCTAGGTGCCTTAGTGGAGAGGTGATGGGACACCACCGATGCCTTCCACCTTTCTACAGTAGGGGAGATGACGATGAGTCCCTTCGACTTCTCCATTCTCACCGGCGTAGGAGTAGGGGGTGATCCGATCCCTTACGACACTGATATGGGCGAGTGAGATACTGCTCAGATGTTTTTGCTAGGGACTCGCCCACCTCTCTCTCGACCAGGGATGGTGCGATATTCGTGGTTCGCCGACCAATTCATGGAGAAGACGCTGATGACCCGCGAGGAGGTCGAGCACTATCCCTGGGGGTTCCTCACGTTTTTGCTTGGCACTACTCTATTCGCCGACCGGGTGAACACCGTTGGCCTCTACTTCTTGAGTGCACTGGTAGACTTGTCTCGCATCTGGCGTTATGACTAGGGCGGCGCAGGCTTGGCCACACTGTATGGATGCATGAGTTCTTCATCTCGCCGGAGCGGACACCTGCTAAGAGGCTATTGGAGAGCCTGGGAGGTACATCTTTCCCTCCTGCTTTACAGTCCCGCTTTACATTATCTGTACACCACACACACTACATTGCACACAATCTGCTTTACACTAGTTGTACACTGCACACACTGCACAATACACTGCACATCATTCTCTAATTTCTGCTTTATCTGTATACTGTTTTATTGATAAACATACTCATTATCATCCTTTCACATTCTGTAGTTGTGGGTATATGCTTACTTCCCGAGGCTTGCCCCAAAACCGGAGGTAGAGACGCCTCCCATGGTTCCATATTCACATAGGTACGATGTGAAATGCGAGCGAAAGCCGCGAGAGTCTTTCTCATTCTTCTGCTGATATTTTGACATTGTAGCCGTAGCGGAGGTATTTCAAACCTTACAGCTCATCTGAGCTTTGTTTTATATTGCACTTTCAATAGCAGATAACAACCTGTATATCCATCATTTACAGATCACTTGGCATCCCTGGGCAGTGCTACCTGACGCAGTTAGAGACCGATTTATGGGCGCTCGGGGAGACTTCTCGATTCCGGGTTTTGCTTGAGGGTCCGGTCTGTCGAGCGTGGTACTTGGGTGAACGCTTCTTGCGACAGAGCCTTGGTTTACCCGAGCCGGTGGTTCCGATGTTGCCTCCTTCGCATATGAGGTTTACGAAGAGGTACATCCCGCAGGAGATGACCGATTTCACGATAGGTTGGGATGCCGACTTTTTCAGGCTCGACGGCGACTACACCGTCTTCATCCAGACATATCTCATGCAGCGTCTGGCCAGTGTTTGTCGAGGTGAGAGAGAGAGACCTGTAGCCACAGCAGGAGGAGTAGGAGGATCCAGCGCGACCCAAGCCCATGGTAGGAGGGGTTTCTAGAGGAGACAGAGGGCAAAGTGGCCAGACCTGCCCACTACTATGACATGTCGAGGACGGGCTGGAGAGACTTATCAGATTCCCATCGCTCATCCCCCAGCTGATCATAAGCTCATCGGAGTTCGAGGCCCAACCCCAGTATATGCTATACTTTACATTCTGTACATTCATTTCATTTCAATTGACATTCCGCAGATTACTAATTACCTCAACACTTTTGCAAGCTTCCATAGAGTACACTGGGCAGGCTCTGGAGCTGCCAGCTTCTCTGATGAGGATGATACGGACGAGCATGGACCTGCTCAGTATTTATGGTATTCGAGTAAGTTCTTTCAACCTCCATCCCAAAACCCTCTATAATATGCTTCATACTAATCTGATGCATCACATTATCAATACTGCATTTGATACACTGCATCTCATATACTGGCCACGGCCCTCATACACTGCAATCATTCACCGCTCACGGCTTTCATATACTACTCACAGCATTCATACACTGTAACCATATGCTGCATTTGATACCATACTCAGCTTCACATAGCATAACTGATGCATTTGCCAATTGTTCTTTTCAGGTCCCATTCCAGATACCAGCCACAGAGGGCGCCTCAGTGGGACCTTCAGTGCTTTCCTGAGCAACAGGGGGAGCGGGACGTAGGACTCCAGCGCACAGCCAAAGCAGAGCTAGGCGTGCTCACACCGGGAGTAGTTCGCGGGAGCCGGCCCCAGATGATGATGAGTCTGATGAGGAGGTAGTGAGTCCACAGTCAGAGTCGTCTCAGGATGAAGATGAGGCTGGAGATGGTTCGGGTTCAGACTCAGGTAGCGGAGCAGATGGCGGTAGTTCTAGGCCTTCGTCGAGGAAGAGGACGAGGATGGCTTCCCACTCTTGAGGCGATTGGTGCCGATTTAGATGTTTTGTTTTTGCTTTATTTCTCTTTTTTTTTTGCTAGTAGTTTTTGCACATTGTACTGCCTCAGGCAGGTTTATTTCTTTAAAACTTTGTACTTTTGCAAAAAGAAACTATGATGGAATGAAAAACAGCTTTTTGATTGAAAAAGTGTTACATTTTACATTCTAAGCATCGCATCGCATCACATTACATTACACAGCATGTAAATGAGATTGAACTTTGTTTAAAAATTGCACACTCAAATTGCAATGTCTTAATCAGGTAGTGAACCAACTGACAACTGAAAGAACAAAACAACTCGATAAGCAAAACTAGTACTTGACATGCTAACCAAATGTCAATACAACTCGATAAGCACGACAAGAACTTAACAATCAACGCAGAATACAACTCGATAAACAAAAACGCAACAACTCGATAAACAAAATGAAGTAACACAGGCGCGACTTCACAAAATTGTCACCGAAAGGCATTCAAAGTGGAACAAGTCACAAGTTCTCAATACCTCCAACACATGGATAGCTCAGAGAACAAAAGGAGAGACCATCGGCCAAAATGGGGGACCATCGGCCACCATAAAGAGTTATCGGCCACAAAAATTGGCCGATCGGCTACAAAGATGGTCGGTCGGCCATCATTACTGGCTGATCGGCCAAAAATGGCAAGAACCTCTAGAATGCTGCCACCTGTCTTCCACTCAACACCTTATCTTCTACAAAAGCCTCAGCTTCATAGTTTCTCCATTTCAACTCAGTTTTTGCACAAAATTGAGGCATTTCTTGTCCAAAATCTCACAAATTGGATAGCTAACTTGGATGGCTCGGAAAAGCTAAATTTTCGGGGCTTCGGAATAAATACACTATTCACGTTGAGCCGCACCCCGTTTCATTTTCCGTTCCTCTATGCCGCGGCAAGGTGTTAGAATCCGGTAACTCATGTTGTTAGCTTTAGCGAACAAGAGATATATCCCACATTTGAAGACTTCCAAGCTTTGATGGAGTCCGAGCGTGAGGAAGAGATCTTGCCCCAATTCCGTTTCGGCCACATCCAAGCCTTAGGACGGATGTGCGGGCTCACTTTGCATGACGCTCGGTCTTTGATCCGTGACGGGGAATTAGACATCCCCAGCTTGATTCGTCGGTTTTCTAATGCCGCGGCAATCATCACTGGTAGGGTTTTCGGCGACAAGCGCTTTACTTGTGCATGTTGTCTCATTTTTTGCTTGCCCCAAGCTCCAATGGGTCTAGCGTCCGTTTGATTGAGGTTGCCTAAGGGATAAAAAAGGGCAAGAGTTGTATTGCCATGACGTTGGCTGAGACATTGACGGGTTTAGATGCTTTCCATCGCTGAGAGACGACTAGATTCGCGGGGAGTCCACTACTACTGCAGGTAATGTTTCCCACCCTATCTCACATATATTTCTCACATCACTCGGCCCTCAGGCTCGGTTTTTCTCTCAAAACTCTTTTCTCACTTTTCTCTCCACGCACACCTCTCTATTCTTTAATCTCTCATTTTTCATCCCTCCCGAGATATGGTTGATGGATAAGTTGAAGGTTGTGGACTCATGCCTAGCATATTCAGCTCGCGGCTACTTCTTTCGGCGACGTCTAGTCAATGCCCTTGATGAGGGATGGTGGTGCGAATGGATGTGCAGTCTGTCCACTGTCAGCACTGGTTGGCGCTGCCCTTGGCTCAATCTTCCAGTGATGAGTTACAGCATGTCTCACCAGCCAAGGATTCAGTTGATCAGCCTAACACACTGTGTCTTTTATTTCCCATTCCAATTCTGGTGCCAATTTGGGCATGATCAGACTTGCCCGGAGGAAGGGATAGAGTACCCTGCCGCATTTCCAGTCCGAGGCGCACAGCTAGCTCGGTGTAGACGTCCCTGAAAGCCCCGGGAGGACGAGCCCCCGTTCTGTTCGTCTTGGGTTCACTATAGTTCAGGACTCTCGAATTGTCACGGTTCTAAATTTGAACCAAAGAGTCCAAATCCAGCAATTTGTTTTGAGAAAAAAAACAGATTTTGAAAGAAGTGCTAAACATGGACTACTTTGCCAGATACAGAGTCGCCACCTAAATATTTTTTATGGGGGAATTTAGGAAACCCTAACTTGGTGCCAAAGGCCACGTGTCCGTCATCACCAAAGTTGCCTTAGCTTGGGAGCTTGGGTACGATTGGGGAAGGTCAGCTATGAGCACCCCCTCTCGCCCGATCCGAAGATCGGCCTCTACTAACCGTGATATCCGTTTTT